GCTAAGCGCTGGGATAAAGAGATGACATCTAGAAGGCACCCCTACCTCTCCCTATTTCTTTCTTTTTATTTTTTTAAAATTTTGAAACTTGGAAGCACTGTGGTTTGTATACCTCTCCCTATTTCAATACAATGAGACTGGACCTAATCTCTATTACACTAATGAAAGATGACAGAAAAATCACATTAAGAGTCATCATTTAGTAACATTAGTTTTAACACAAAGACTTTCATCTTGATAGTCAAGAAATATTTGGAAAGTTATTTAGTATATTTAACTCAGCAAAGTATGCACTGCAAATGACAAACATTGCAGTAGTCTTACTGAGCAGCAATAATCAAGTCTCAACTGAAAAAACACACAGTGCTGATATACTGTTCAAAGAAATTGTTGCTGTATTTCATTACTGTCTATTACTAAATCTGTACCACTGCACTTTTCTTTGAGACAGGGTCTTGCTCCGTCACCAAGGCTGGAGTGCAGCAGTGTGATCTCGGCTAACTGCAACCTCCACCTCCCAAGTTCAAGTGATTCTTGTGCGTCAGGCTCCAAAATAGCTGGGATTACAAGCGCATATCACCACACCTGGCTAACTTTTGTACTTTTAGTAGAGATGAGGTTTCACCATGTTGGCCAGGCTGGTCTCGACCTCCTGACCTCAGGTGATCTGCCTGTCTCAGCCCCCTAAAGTGCAGGGATTACAGGCATGGCACCCAGCCTGCACTTTTCTTCCTAATAAAGCAATGACTCAAAATTGAAATATTTTGACATTAAAATAGTCAAAAAAAAAAAAAAAAAAAAAAGCTAATTAGATCCACTCATCTAGAACCAGTGGAAAGAAAAAAAATTTTAACCTACTGTGATTTCTATCTTAAAATTCTGTGAACTTCATTTTTCCTCAACATTCAAGGAAAATGAGATAAAGAAAAGAAGAAGAAATGAATTGAGATAAAGAAAATGAGATAAAGAAAAAAAAAAAAGAAGAAAAGTCCCTAAGGCTTTGGGACTTTTAGGTGGGAAAAGTCTTGTCAGTATATAAGTGACAGAACTATGAGCAACTTTTATTTTCTTTTGTGCTTTTCAACATTTTCTGGATTTTCTATAATACACGTGCATTTTATTTCTAATTTGAAAACAATGTAAAATCCGTCTCAACTACCCTGCATACCTTCTCATACTACCACACCCCAAACCAACCTAAAACTTGTAGTCCTCCTAACTCAGACCTTCCACTTTTCAGTGTCACTACAAAATTAGATGCCGCCTTCTAATTTTCCATTAAATGAGTAAACTACCAGTGTGCTATACGGAAGAATGATGTAACCACTATAGTAATAAATCCCTTTTGTACTTTTAAAGGGAATATTTTTGGGATAAGGTATTAGAAATGTAAATTAACAAAAACTATATAATTTCATATGTCAAATATTATAAGGGACTTATCTTAAAATAATCTAGATATCCCTCATCCTAGGTAACAAACGGAGCTTTCTCATCAATGTATTGTGCACCAACTAAGTGTCAAACACAGAGCTAGGTTACGTATGAGTATAAAACTTTAAAGCAAAGCACAGTCTACAGAGGAATGATAAATCTTTTGGGAAGTTTTGGGCAAGCATGTGACAGCTTTCATTAAAAACAGTGATTCTTAATGAAGAAATCCTGTAAAAAGACTGTTTGTACTATTATTCTTTGTGGAATATTAGACTGTATTAACAATAATAAAACAGTCCTAAATTACAGACTACCAAGTGGAATGTAGAAATCAGTTTTCCTTGCTACAGATGGAGCTAACGAGGAGTGTAAAGTTAACTTAATGTTGGTTAATTACATTTTTGGCCAATTTGTAGAAAGTTTACACAACTATAACATTAGGTACAAAACATTTATAGTTCCATAAAACAGTGTAGTGGGACACATACAGACCTGAGTTCAAACTCAGATACACAATGCAACCATGAGCAATTTACTTAACATTCTTGAACTTAGTTTACTGGCCCACAATATGGAAATAACACCTACCTTATTGATTGTTGTGAAGATCAAGTAAGGTGTATAAGATACTAAGCACAATGTCTGATATGTAGCAAATAATTTTAAAATGTTATTTGTACTCTCTTATAATTCTCTTTTAGTACGAATATTATCTATACTCTTCTAGAAAGCAAAAACTATCCTATCATCTTTATATCCCCCAATATAGTTTTGGTAGATACTACGTAACTGTTTGCTGAAATTAACCCCTGTAATTTAAGGGTCACTATCTCAACTTCCCACTTATGCAAGTTACCTCTAAATAAAATCTGCTGAGAATGGAATTTTAAGATTCCCAGACCAACACTTTATCGGACATTTTGGTGAAGAAAATGAATCTCCAATAATCAACAAGGTAGCTTTATTAGTACACTGCTCAATATCTGGTTTGCAGTCTACGAAATTATCAATGTAGCCAATATTTTCATTTTGAGATTCTTTACAGTTTTCATTAATCCAGGTTCCTTAGAAATAAACTTTATTTGCATTGCAAAAATATCTAAGTTTTCTGCTATACTTCAAAGAAAAAACAGAGTACATAAATTACTTATGAGACAAAAAAATTAAAAATTGCCAATTTTAAACCGCCCATTATTTTTTACTACAGTAAATATTCTTCCTTTTACCTTGAAATCTCTAGCCACCAAAGTTTACATAGTTTATTAATGCTTCTTTGTTGAATAAGCCTCCTGAATTACTAGCAATACTTAAAAACATTACTCCATGCCATCACAGTATTAACAAGACAGAACCCTGTAGTTTCAGATTTTCTTATTTTTGCCTTTCCACGACCAAAAGCCTATTCCAGCTCAGGCAGTGGAGTATTTCAAATTCTACAATTTGAAAAAATGATGAAAAGCTGGATATATTTCTAAATAAATACCAATTTCATTAAAGCTAGGTTGTAATACGTAACTTTGCAAAACAAGTATTCCTGAGATAAGCTATATAGCAAAATAACAGTTTTATCATTAAATACATCTTAAAACTAAATACAAAACTTCTTAAATACTTAAAATCTGTATGGCAGAAAAGCATTAAGAACTTCATATTAAGCAGTATTTCAGTCTAAATTCAAACAATTTAGAAGCTTTTTAAAAAAGTGATTCTTGAAACAAAAGTTTTAATAAATACTTGGTTACTGTACGCAAAGTTTCAGGACTCAATGAAATATAACGTTTGAATAGATGGAAATATTTGGTGAAGCAAACTTTATGACTATTTATCTTTAAATGCTGATTTAAGCAATATTCTCAAACATTTTAATAAACAAGATAAATTTTAAATGCAATAACTTTTTCAGAACTGGGAGTCAAATAAACCAAGAAAATGCCCTGGATGTACGACAACCTATAAGGTAACACTTAATAAAAACTATTCTTTCTATGGAAGGGATTATATTTCAGTTTATCTAAAAGTTTAACTTCAGGTGTTCCTCCATTTTGGCCACATTTCTAAGTCATCATATTTAAAATTTCTTTCTTCTTTGCTTGCCTCCTTGTTATCAAAATTGATCATACTAATTAAAAGATCCTAAACGTTGTATTTTAATACACATGAAAATATATTTTCAGTTCCAGTGCCAAAGTAGGTGTCTTTTATGCCAACTTTCTATGAAATACAAGTACCAATGCCAAATATATTATAACTCTAACACTGCTCAATTTAAAAGAAAAATGACACTATTATCTTTTTCAATCAAAACCAAAGTATGTTTTTCATGTTTCAAGACCAGGAAATGTAAAGCATTTCTGACTTGCCTCAAATCATCTTCATCTTAAAAGCTTATGTAAATTATTTACTATTAATAAAATAGTAAATTCCATTCATTTAGCTAACTTGGTATGCTGTAAGATCTGCTTATAAATGGCTAAGTAAAATATTACATAGCAACATTTCTAGTTATATGAAATTCGGCTGTGCATTTCCAAAAGTCTAAATTTGCAACACTGAATTTGTATACAGTGTTGAAATCTCTATTTTTGTGGAAGAAATATCAAGTACTATACCAACGTTTTCAAGCTTATCTCTGACTGCACAAGAAACCAAACTTATAAAGATTAAAAAGTGTATTTAAACAAGAAATTTAGATGCAGTTGCAATACTTAATATTGACATCAAGAATCAACTCTTAAGAGTTTCTAGATTTACTTTTTTAAAAAAATTAACTATCCAACCCACAAAAAGAAATGCAAGCATGCTATTTTTTCTCTTAATTCCCATCTACAGTCTTCGAGTAGCTAAAAGATAACAAAGCAAAATAACTTTTAAGTCTAAAAACAACCATGAAATTTTAACATTTTTGTTAGAATTCAGATGTAAACACCTCTGAACACTCCCAAGTAATGAAAACCCGTCAGGGTAGCTTAAGTCCCCCATGTACACCATAGAGATCTAAAAACAAAATTCGTGCCTCCATCATCAAATATTTAGCTGGAAATGGGAAAGAATAATATTGCTACTCGACATGGACTTAACTAAGCGATCTATTTTGTTCTCATCTTTTGCAGACATGTGGTGCCCAATGTTTTCCCTTAGTCGACTGCTTTCTCATTTGTAAACAACTTCTGTAGCTCTTCCTCCGGTGCTCAAATGAGAAGGAAAATTCAGCATCTGAGCTTCCGGATCTGGGCAGGGATAGCTGAGAAAGGGACCATGTATCTACCACTTGGTTTAAAAAAAAAAACGAAAAGAAAAAGATAGCCCTCAAAATAGAGAAGAAACACCGTCACCTGAAGAGGGCTGGTGAAGTGAAGTAAGCATTTGGTGAGACATTTAAAAAAAAAAAAAAAAAAAACTTGTCTAGGGGCTGGAAGTTTTGGGGGCACTCTTTGTGCGGAGTCTGAGGAGAGGGGGAGGAACAAGAAAACAGCTTGGGAGTCATTCAAAGGAGTTTAAGGAGCGGTGTAGGGAGGAAAGGCGGGGCGGGGCCCGGCCGCGCGAAGGGAGGGGGCGGCAGGGGCGTTCGCCGGCAGCTCTGACACCGAGGGAGGGGGCGGCGGGCCGGCCTCTCCTGGGACCGGGCGAGAGCAGGCTCTCGCTACAGCAGAGCTGCAAAAATGAGGCCCCCTCTGGTAACCAGAATCAAACCAAAGCTGTGGCAGGCCAGGGCTTTGGCGGGGAAGAGGGTCCGGCTCCCGAGGGAAGCAGTTCCCAAGTGACAACCCGGAGTTTCCGCACTTAGCGGGCTAGGGACGCGGCGGCAGCGACTTCCCTCGGTCACCAACGCCGCGCGGAACTCTCTCCCAGTCTCCACCGCCAGCGCTTCTCGCCCGGGCCGCGGCCCTTACCTGCAGTTCCGTGAGCAGAATCTCCCCCCGTTCGGGGTTGGACGCCATTGCGCTCCGCTATGGACTCCGCACCTGGACGCGGCTGCCGCTGGCGAAGGGAGAAGGCGGGACGGGACTTGGGGTGAGAGGTGAGGAGCGGGGAGAGAAAGAAAAAAAAAAACTAGAGATTCATGGAGGCGCAGCCCCTGCTGGAGGAGCGACTTATTCCGTCCGGTTCATCGAGAGCGGGAGCGAGGGCACTCGTAACGGGCTTCCCCTCGCCGGCCGGCCGGCCGCCCGCCCGCCCGCCCGCCCGCACCGGACTGTTCGCCTAGTCGCTCCCTCTGGGCGACGCCAAGAGTCGCCTCAAACCTCTCAGTGCGGGGCGCTGCGGCCGCTGCCGCAGCTCCTCCTGTCGCACCATTTGACTGTCACCGCGTCGTAAAAGCGGCCTCACTTGGCGGCTGGCAGCACACGTGACGACGGTAGCCACTGCTTCTCGTCGGGCAGGGAAGGTGGGGCACAGGGGTCCCCCCTTGGCTAGAGGGGCCAGGGGGCGGGGCGGCTTCCGACCCGACTTCGCGGCGAGGGCACCTATTGGGCCCGGCTAGGGTGAAAATGAGGGGAAAGGACTGGGCTTGCGTCTCTGGGGAGGCGGGAAGAGGAAGAAAACACACGCCTACTTTCCTGCTGCGTTTAACGGCCTCTAAGTAAACGCCAGAACTCGGGAGCCTGCTCGCTGCTGTTTTTTCGGGATATTTTTGTTTTTGTTGTTTTGCTTAATTTCCACCTTCTTGCCGAAGCTTGGGCCTAACTTTAACAGGCCCCTTTTAAACCTCCACAACCAAAGAGCTTCGGGACTCACATATCCTCTGCCCTCCCCTTACCGCCCCATCAACCGAAGCCAATAATTTTGCCTTTTGCTCGCGGTCACCCCCAGCACGCCTTCTCCACCAGTAAGGTGCGCAGTTGGCTAAACGGGTCTGGTCTGTACTTTTTATGAAATGTAAGCGGCTGGATCCCTGGCCACAAATGCACAGCGGTTGAGATGCCTTTTCCTTGAGGCTGAACTCTGCTCCTTGTGCTGGAGAACTCTACAGAGCTAAGGATTAGCTGGTGTTTTGGATTGTTTTAACTTCATTTAAAAGGGGGGTGGGACAGAATTACCCTCGGGAAAGGAAAAAAGCCAACTTTCCTTGGCGTGATAAGCATTAAAGCTAACCCGACTGCTTAGTAACGTATAGCTAAATAGAGTAAATCTAGTTGTTTGTTTTTAATGACCCTATAGTGTTCAGGAATTTCGAAATCTACAGGTAGCTTTTGTTTTTGTTTTGTCTGAGCAGTGAATGGATAGGTAAACACGTAATTTTTGATTTTTTGAAGCTGCAGTACAATTCCTTTGTTAAAAGCTACCTGGAGAAAGTGGTAAGGGTAGGTTAGGTTACTATGTTGCTACTTAGGAAGGGCATTTGTTGACATACATCTTAGGAAGTATATTACGTACTTCTGCACTCCATGTAAGATTTGTTAGCCTGATGCTAGGACTTACGTTTATCCTTTTGCCTTCTCAAGTCTCATATATCAACTTAACAAACATTTATTCAAGATCTGGATTTTTGTGGCCACATTAACTCATCATATGTGTGATGAAGAATTTTTCTGGTGTGTACTTCACAACTCTTATAACTGTTTATATATCTAATACGTTGCCTTGGTTTGAAGTAATAATTAAATACATGAAATAACACTTGGAAAGCCCGGGATATAAATACCTTTCCTGGTAACTAAAAGCCAGATGGTGTCCTAGGCTTTGGAGTTACAGCAAGGATTAAGGGTCCTTATCCGACTGGCCCGTGGTTCATTCCTGTAATCCCAGCACTTTGGGGCGGCCAGTGCAGGCAGATCATCTGAGGTCGGGAGTTCGAGAACAGCCTGGCCAACATGGTGAAACTCTGTCTCTACTAAAAATACAAAAATCCCAGCTGGGTGTGGTGGTGTGCCTGTAATCCCAGCTACTTGGGAGGCTTGAGGCAGGAGAATTGTTTGAATCCAGGAGGCAGAGGTTGCAGTGAGCCTCAGACTCCACCTCAAAAAAAAAAAAAAAAAGTCCTTATCCTTGGAGTGACTGGAGAATCCTTTGGGGAAGCCAACTGATGTCCAAACAACAATAATGCAATTTTAAGTAGCATGCAAATAATTAGGGGAGCACTGCATGCATTTGTGTGTGTGTGTCTGAATGTGTGTGGATCTATAATATTTTATTGTGGTAAATTGCATAACAAAATTACCATTTTAACCATTTTAAGTGTACAATTCAGGAGCATTGAATCCATGCAGATACATTTTGTTTTTGTCATGGCTTACTGCAGCATGCATTTGAGATGGCTGACATACACATAGAAAGTGATTAATAATGGTGGAACTAAGAGTTAACTGGGCAAGGGCTTAGAAATACAGTCAATGAGCAGTCTTTGTAAAAATTAATGTAGATATAAATGTTCACATTTCAGCATCATATAATTTTAGAACTAGAAGTGACTTGAAATATCTAGCTTACCTCCTATTGTAGGTAGGAAAAAATGAATAGATTTCTTAGCTAATTAGAAGCAAGACAACACTATTACTTAGTGACAGAGATGGGGACTGTTACCTAAGTCTCCTAATTGCCTTCTGTGTTTGTTTTAACCTACACCATGCCACTATAACTTTAAAATCGAATTCTCACTTAACCTGAAAGCGTTAAACTCTCTTAAATTTTTACCATAGACTTTAAATTTTACATACTTCTAATGTTAAAACAATGTTAGTAATTTAAAAATAATTTTCGCTTTAGACAGTCTTACTCTTTTGCCCAGGCTTGACTGCAGTGTGGCACAGTCATAGCTCACTTCAATCTCAAACTCCTGGGCACAAGGGATCCTCCTGCCTCATCCTCTCAACTAGCTGCGACTACAGGTGCATACCACTGTTGATAAGGATTCTTAATTTTACATTTCACATGTAAATTTAAGCGACAAATATACAAAGTTTTAAAAGTTATGAAATTATTTTCTGTGACATGGGTCCATGGGGGGAAAAAAAAAAGAAAATGAGGAAGGATTTCTGAGATTAGCTGTGCTAGGGAAAGTATTACAACACAAAAGGGAGGCCAACAATATTAAAACTACTTGATAATCTGAAATATGTGATGATTTAAACAGCCTATTATTTTTATTTAAGCTGAAATTAGCTACCCAGGTCACATTCTCTGTTCAGGGGAAAAAAACGTAATAGGACATGGATCGTACTTAGCAGACTGAAGCACACTTGAAAAACTTTTAATGGAAACACAGATTGATTCAGATGGATTGTATTGGGTCCCTATTTACAAATGTGTTTAGGGAATCCTAAATATAGTTCTCCTCAAGTTGTGGTCTAATTTACATTAGCAATAAAAAAGAGAAGAGTTAGAGATTAGAGTCCATTTAAGAGGTCAGAGTCCTTAAAAATAACTGAATTTAATCCTTAGTTGTGTGGGTACCTTTAGAAATTATTCCTAAAGATTTTAAAGGTCTTTAAGAAGTAGAAATGGCCAAAAATTTAGAAATAGTTTATATTAACAATACATAGAAAGTGTTTTCTTTTTTTCTTAAAGATAAGATGTTACAGGAAACATTCTAGAAAAGCTAACAACTGTTTTTTTCATTTTCTGTGCTTTTGAAACAGATATTCAGATAATATGGGCCCTCTCTTAAATTTCAAGTGAAATGAGACAGGAACTATATATCCAGGGAAAGGGCCAGAAACCTTTATTTTATGAGTCACATTTTTTATTGCCTTCCATTGTGTATTTTCCTTTTGTCCTTCCTTAATATTTATAAACTGTTTGCAAATTCAAACTTGTCCCTACAGTGTGATGGAAAATCAAAATGCAAGAGTTCTGTTTTCCTTTCATTTTTGTTTTCCATGTGTGTTAGAAGAGAAAGCCCATCCCTGCTTCCAAAAGATTAGAACAAAGTAGCAGTGGTAATCAAAGTAAGAATGCCTAAGGAAAGGCAGAACTCCAGAAGACAGAGTAAAAATTACTTGGTCACCACCCTTTTCTTCCTTAAGAAACCCCCTTGTAGAAATCAATCTCTTATATGCTCTATGAAGATAACTGAGAACAGGGTTCTTAAGAGTTGTCAGCTATAGTGATTACAGTATCTGCTTTTTAGAATGTCAGCTCAGTCCACATCCACTTGACTGAGAATTCCTCCTATTCCCAGAGATATCTCTGAAACCATGTTGACTCTGCTTAGCACAGCTCTTCCAGTAAACTATGATTAGATCACTGATAGACCATATCCAGGTTTGACCAATCAGATTTTTCCTCTAAGACTTTGGAAACCGATCATTGGAATTTTGATCATTTGGCAGCCCTAGAGTGGCAAGGTGTTGTGATTCTATGGATTGGATAGCCATTTTCTGCCATGTGCACAAAGATGCAGAAAAACTCTTTGGAACGAGAAAAGAATTTATTTCTTCCTGTCACTGGGAACATAATGGTTAGCAAAGCATACCTGGTCACTGTTGTCATGGAACTTGTAGTTTGGTGAAACCAGTACAATGATAAGGTAAATTCATAATACTTTAAACATAGGGCAGAGCAGACAATCTTTTCCTGAGTACTTCACACTTAAGCTGAGTTCTCACAAGTGTGTAAATGTTAAGGGGGGGGGAAGGTGTAAAGAGCCTTCCAGGGAGAGAGAATAACATAGATAAATAAATGTTCTAATGTGGGAGGGGGAAACTTTTATAATTACTGCACGGCTAAACAGGCTATA